GAGTGGAACAAACTGATGTAACTGCACCTTCCATCATCAGCCATCAGCCAGCAGACACAATAGTACACACAAACACAGTCATATTTACTGTGAGGCCAAAGCATAGTTTATGCATATTTACTATCTATCTGCAGGCTTTATTTTTGAAATGGTCCGATACATCATTGTTTGCATTAACACATTTTATCTTCAGTGACTGAACTGCCTGCAGGAGGCTGCTCATCTACATGACATCCATAGGAGAGATCTGTTATACCTGTTATACTGGGAAGACACATTTTGAGGTTTGAAATTTTTACTTTAATCCAAGCAGTGTCAGAATTCAAATAATAATGGTTGATACAAAATAAGAACTAAACCTAAGAATACCATGGGGGGAAATCTGATAAGGAGATCACATACAGTAAGAGAAAGGATGTGGAACAGACAGGAGCTGATGCAACCCTCTGCAAACAGAGACCAGACAACAGATGAATATTTTCCAATCAATCAGCACACAAATTAAAAGAAAGACAAAACATAAAACCAGTGTTTCATAATGAGCTCTTTAATCACTGTGGCTCTTTTGGCATGGGTGAAACTATTGACTGAGGTCCGTATGGAACAGTCTCGCTCATTAGTTTCTTCTGACATTAGTCTTTCAATTAATAATGAGTTTATTGATGTATGTATATATTGTGTTGATGTGTGTGATCAGTACATCTTTGCTGTGTGATTCAATAGTACAAGTACAAAATACAGGTCAGTGTTGATGAAGACAAACCTACTGTGAAGCATGTCAGACTCACGACATATGGGAGATTAAAGATTCAGAGAAACAAACAAACACACACACACACACACACACACACACACACACCCAAAAGATGAAATTTCTATGGCAAAAAGGTTTGCAGCAATGTGGTGAAATTCTATGATACAGCTTCCTACTTAGTCCTGTGTCCATGCTGGTTACTGCCTTTAAAAAAAGTCCACATATGTGGGAATTTAAAGGACAAGGTGAAGCCAGTTAACCAGTGTGTCTCAAAGATGATGGGACTTACCAGTAGATTGACAGTGCAGCTCATGCGGTTGTTGCGGCTGTCATCACTCATCACAGTGCGGTAGTCAAGGAGACGAATGAGCAGTCCCTTCACCAAGGCGACAAAGTGCTGCACCTGTGGCCTAAGCGTGGGTTTCTCAGCAGCACAGTCCAGAAGGCTGGCAGACAAGCATTCAAGTTAAGCATCAAAGATCTCTGAGACTGTTTTCCCGTGCTATTCATGTGCTAAAAGTTTACTGTATTGCTCAGACACATTTATGTACCATGTTATATCACAGACTTGCAGCACTGTCATTTTAGTGTAATACTGTATTTGTGGTATACTTTAATGCTCAGGCCTACATGGTTTCCAGTAGTTGCATGTATCGCTCATCGCCTCCTCCACCCTCCACCTCATGGTCCAACTTCAAAATGATCTCATTCTCAAACTGCAGAAAAAAAGAGAGATGGAGAGAAGGCAAAACAGGAGGGAAAAGGAAGAAGAGAAAGAAGAAGAACAGATGAAGGAATTAATTATGCAGGCATCATTAAGGTGTCTCCTTTACTAGGCGGAGAGCACAGTTTGTCTGTGCCACTGTTTCTGTGCAAAGGTGGAGTCTGTGTTTGCAGAAGTGTATTTTATTTTTTGTATCTATACATATCAGTGGATGGTTGCTTACGTATAACAGTATACTCACATATTGTATGTGTCATTACCTTGTGGAAGTTTCCACAGTTTGCATGTTCACAGGTGATCATGTCAAAGAAGATGGGAATGGTGGCTCTTCTCAACTCCTCCTCAGGTATCAAAGTCATCTCCAGGATGGGACCCACCATGCCAGGGATGAAACAGATCTTGTGACTCCCTGAAAGACACACACACACACACACACGTAAAAGTGTAAAAATGAACAAAAATCATTTTCCCCCTCTCCACATGGTCACCAGCTATTCTGACATTTGTCCTCACATACAATCCACAGGTCTCTGGTCCATCAAATTTCAAAATGTTTTTCCTTCTGCAATAAGGACTTTGAACTCAGTGTCTTATTTCCAGAATATATTTCTGTACACGGAGCTTTCTACCAAAGTATACTGTGGATTTTATTAATAAACTGCTATATTGATGTGACCTGCTGCCAACACTACGGAGTCTTGTCATAGTGCAATATGGAAAACAACAGACTCCTGTTTGCATCATGAAGGGAAGTGAAATTGAAGAAATAGTTGCACCTCCCAACATGCACAGACACTGCTACTATACATCTTGATATGAGGATAAACACACATCATTGCATACTCAGAAGCAGTTTAGATTGTATTACCGAGTTTGTACCAGACGTCACGTATAGCAAAGCCAATGAGTCTTCTCATATCTCCATATCTGAAGTAGAGAATAAGACAAAGAGAAAACACAAAAACTGAGAGAGAAAGACAAAAAAGTCTAGAAACAATGTACTGACCAATGATATTATTTTCCTGTCACATACCGAACAACCCAGTTGGAAAGATAATGGTGCAGAAATTTCCCCACAACATGAAATAAATTGAATGTCTACAGGCAACACCTGCTTTTAATGGGCAGTGGGAGTGTGAACAGTAAATGCAGACACATTGGTGCTTCAGTCAGGTGTGTATGTGAGGGGGTGAGGGGTAAATGTGGCAAATAAGGCAATTATATGCCCCTCCTCTCACTTGACCAGAATCTTGTTCCTCTTGGTTGGTGAGAAATGCTGAAGCTGTAGAGATTCCTGGGTAATAAATGCCACCGCCAAGTGGAAGTAGTTATTCCACAGCTAGAAAGGAGGAAGAGAAAGAAAAAGGAGAAAGCCAATAAAGAATCATGTTAAAAGGAACACAGGTGAAGTATACAGATTCTGTCAATATGAGACAAAGCCTGGACTGTTATTACACACATTTACCTGCACTTCAAAGTCATTGTTATTGAGGAACTTTTGGTTCATTGTGTCGGCATAGGTACTGATGGCTCTCAGGAACACTCTAATGGACAGAAAAACACATATTATACTGTATACACACACACACACACACACACACACACACACACACACACACACACAAAATATGCCTAAAAGCCTTCAGCTTTATACTGCTATTTCAGACAAGAATGTAATATTGCTTCATATTCAAACCTTCTGTCACTATAACAGATAATGGCAGCAACTTAACACACTGTGTGCAGGTATGTCTGTCAGGGAGATGCGACTGTTCTGATGTTAAGTAGCAAACCTGCTCAAAATTCCTTTTCTACTCCAATGCTATCTATCACTGTTACCCCTCAGCCAACTGCCATTCCATCTTTTAAGAAGGGCTTTCCCTCTCTATCTGCACATTGCTTCCATAACCTGAGTCTGGAGATTCCTTATCAACCTCTTTTCCTTGCGCTCCCCGTTTGCCTTTTCTCTTCTTCTGATACAGCTTTAGCCTCCCCTCTAGTGCACATCTTAAAAAAAGTACGCCAATGTCTTCGATCACACACATTTGTCACATCGGCCGTTTCATTATCGCAGCCATGATCCCAAGGTTATCTGTAACCTATCCCTGTGTAGGTTTGTGTGGCAGCACGCGTCACTGCAGATCTAAACAGTGCTTTAGATTACACTGCCAAGTCTGATGGGCCCAACAGCAGGTTAATGAGGCCTATATAGGTTACAGAGGGAGAATCGAGACTAGCACACTCGGTTGATGGTTCAAATCCCGGGCATGTCTGTGTGCTTACCTGTTCTGTACCATGATCATGGCCATCCAGTCAGAGGGATACACATGCTTCCCAATCAGGTCCTTGAAAAGTAGAAAGGATTCCATCAAGAAGTCCTGCAGTGAAATGGACAAGAGAAGTTTAAGTGGAGTCTGTGTTTGCGGAAGTGGTTTGTTTTATATATCTTTAAGTTTATTTAAGTCTGCAGGTGATTGTGTGCACTTACCACTAGATCAGTAGTTCCAGTGAATGTTTCTATGTATGAGGCGTAGTGACGATCATCCATCTGACTGAGGATGGCTGTCATGCAGGCAACTACCCTGGACTATAAAGTGTCAGAAAAGGGGAGTGAAAGAGAAAGAGATGCACTGTTACTTTTTGGACACTGTGTAGCTGCTCTTAAACGAAGTGCTATACATCTAAAGCCGAAGACAGTGAAATCTCTAAAAGCTCAAGAGAATTGTGAAGAAAACCTCAGATCAGTTTTGTTGCTTGCTAATTTGTGCCTTAACTCTACCAAAGTCCAATCAACATCATCGCATACTGGCTAAATGATCCAAAACAAAAGGGCAGGAAAAGTGTCAATACATTTTTAAAGATGCCTCAGTAAGCTGTTGTCACAATGTTAGGCACAAATTACCGTAATTACTATAAACATAACACAACATAACCACTGCCAAGTAGATTGGCAGCCTCTACAGTGTCTGAATTATATTCTACAATAACTTTAACTTCATGGCCTGCTGCCAATAAATATATTTTAAATATTTGTAGTTTCTCTTTAACACAAATAACAGAATAAAACAAGAATAGTGTCCTGTTAAATGACTGCAACACGTACAGTTACAGCAGGTTTTTAATGTTGAAATTTTCAATGAGGTATTAACTCCTGATAACAAGCACTTAATTTTGAAAATAGCTCAAGGGAAGTACACAAATACATGCAAAGAGACGAGTAATAGGAACAATTAGAGG